CTCACACACAGTCACTCACACACAGTCACTCTCACACACAGTCACTCACACACAGTCACTCTCACACACAGTCACTCTCACACACAGTCACTCTCACACACAGTCACTCACACAGAGTCACTCTCACACACAGTCACTCTGACACACAAGACATACACAATCACCCTCATGCACACAATTATTCTCACTCATTGTATTGTACTTTCCTATACTCTCTCTCTCTCCCCTTCCTCCCTTTCATTCTCAGTCTCTCTCTCTCTCTCTTTATCTGTTTTTTCACACACATTCACAGTCGTTCTAACTTCAGTCACAGAAAATCACCATCCATTATCACATTTCCAAACGGAATAAAGTTTTAACCTGATTTCACTGCTCCAGATATAAAACTACAATAACTGGAGTCACTCTGATTCAGAGGCAGACGCTGCTGCAATTGCTTATAAGTCTTTAATGAATTTATTGTTTACAGTGAGGCTGTGGAACTTTATATCATTTACATCCGGTGTGAAACCCAAAACCCTGGAAAATTTAATATCACAAACTGGTTCCAATGCTCACATTGCTTTAAAATTCAACACATTTACCAAAGATTGACATAACATGCATATTTTTAACTGAGATTTATCCATGTTTAGACTTTGATATTACCTTAGAATAAAGATCCTCAAATATGATTGGTACATGATGCAGATTTGATTTGGTTTTGATTTATTTTTAAAGAGTTTGACCTTGATTTTGAGGTGAAATAGTGGCTAGCTTATTTTTTCACTGAAGGGTGACTGGTGATTATGAGAGGCTGTAATTGTTGTATCTCTTTATCTGGGTGAAATTTGCACTTAACTCACCACTCATTTTGAGAATTCAAATGATTAACACACAGGAAAGCATTGAAGTTATAGATGTAGATATTTTCGCCAATATGTTTTCTGAGAGCTCCTGCAGCTCAGAATTTGGTACTACACTCACCAGGGTGTACTGGAAGCAGCTTTAATTCGCAATCACGTTAAATAACTCTCTGAGGAGAATAAAACCACCAGCCTGCAGGGAAAAGGTGGAGGTGTGAGATTATGAATGAGGTCTAACCGAGAGCCAGTACAGACACGATGGACCAAATGGCCACATCCTGAGCTGTAATCATTCTGATTGTATAGCTCATCGAATTGCTCAGCATTTCCCTATTGGTGGTGCAGTGACACTTGGCTTTTTCTTGATATTTCCCAGCCATTGTGTGTGTATAGTCGCCCCTCACCCATCGAATGGTAAGGGCTCTAGCTTCCTGGGATTTAAGTAGGGAGTGGCAAGGCAATAGACACTATTGCTCCTGAGTTTGTTGATATCAGTAGCTGAGGTCATTTGAGTTGCTCACAGTGATTTTTTTCTTTCTTTCTTTCTGTCTGCCTGCTCTCTCCCTCTCTCTCTCTGACATCCTCTCCCTCTCTCTCTCTCTCCTTTCTATCCGTCTTTCTCTCCAACTTTCTATTCCATTCTCTCTCTCGCTGCCTTTGTCCACCTCTCTAACTCTGCCCAACCCCCCATCTCGTTCCGCCTCTCTCTTTCTCTTACTGGCTTTCTTTTCGCCCGCGACCCTTGTACTCATACAGATTTATCCATGCCCCCTGGAAGATGTGCCTCAGTTTAAGGGGCTTCAGGACTTCTGCCACACCTTTAAACTGTACCGGGGGAAAGTGTATGGAGATATCGAGGATCCAATGGTTGTAGGCGAATTTAAGGTAATGAGTAAAGGAGTTATTTGGAAGATAGTTGACAAGTGATTTTCTTGGGTCATCCATTCTGTCTGATTTTACATCGGATTTCAACTGGTGCTCGTACTTTTAGTCGCCTGGGCTATGTGCTCTGGGGGTGTGTGGTTGTGTAGTGGTCATTGGACTAGTAGTCCAGGACCTCAGGTTAACATTTTGAGGGTGGCACGGTGGCTCAGTGGTTAGCACTGCTGCCTCAGAGCGCCAGGGACCCAGGTTTGATTCCACTCTTGGGTGACCGTCTGTATGGATTTTGCGTGGGTTTCATCCGGGTGCTCCGGTTTCCTCCCACAGTCCAAAGATGCGCAGTTTAGTTGGATTGGCCATGGGGGTACGGTTGGGGGCTGTGTCTGGGTGGGACGCTCTTTGGAGGGTCGGTGTGGACTTGATGGGCTGAATGGCCTCCTTCCCCTCTGTGGGGATTCTGTGAAGAAATGTGGCTGACTCTTAACTGCTGTCTGGAATGGGCAATAAATAACCAGCAACACACATTGGCTCATAACCACAACTCAGTTCTGCTGTATTTATTCTATACCTCCTGGGCTCAGCCATGCCTCAGTGGGTAGCTGTCTCGTTCCACAGTCAGAAGGTTGTGGTTTCCAGGCCAGAATCCAAGCTGGGAGTGCAGTCAGTCAGACCCCCACTATTTCAAAGGAGAGCCAATACACTTATCCGTTGATCAGCACCACAGAGATAGATTGTCAGGTCATGAATTCACTGCAGCTCGGAGACCTTTCCTGGGCATGAATAAGCCACCGTACTTCCTTCATTATGGCTTTCAAAAGTGCTTCATCAAGCTGGAAAAGCAAATTCTCTTTCAACAGGCTTTTGAGTCGGTTGACTGAGTTCTTTCAACAAAGTCACATTGTGGTACGTCGGAACCACAGGGGCCCTGCTGACAATCTCACGTTAAATAGAGTACTGAGGTAGTCCCTCTGTAACCCAACGTGCCTACAAACATAGATAACAAGTTGTAGAGCTGGATGAACGCAGCAGGCCAAGCAGCATCAGAGGAGCAGGAAAGCTGACATTTCAGGTCGAGATCCTTCTTCAGAAAAATTAGAAGGGTCTCACTTCAGAAGGGTCTAGGCCCGAAACGTCAGCCTTCCTGCTCCTCTGATGCTGCTTGGCCTGCTGTGTTCATTCAGCTGTACACCTTGTTATCTCAGATTCTCCAGCATCGGCAGTTCCTACTATCTCTGTGCCTACAAACATGCTCTGTGTGAAAAGCCCCAGTGAAAACCGAGTGATGCAGTCAATATATTTTTTTTAGAAGTCTCTTATTTTTTCAATTTGTTCACTCTTTGTGATGGTCTGACCTTGTACTGTAAAAGATATTGATGGAGTTAGCGTTGGAAAAGCTTGCGAGTCTTTTCCTGCTGAGTGTGCTGTCTTTGGGTGAGTCTGCCACATCGGCTGTGCCTGTCCGACACGTCCTCCACGATTTCCACACCGCGGTGCGAAATCAGGGAACATTTCTGCAGCTTCGGCCCGAGGAACAGGCACATCAGAGGTTGGGCATTCAGCATGCTCTTCGAGGGTCATCAGGGTGATGGTCTTCCTTTTCTTCCCTCGAATAATCCTGCTCCCAGCCTCCAAATCACTGGAAATCGTACAGGTATTTTTATCAGCATCTTATCAGCATGGGTAGTGCTTGATGTTGTTAAAATGTTGTGGCTTCTTGGATGGTGCCATCATGCGAAGCAGCAGCTTTTCGGTGCCATCATGTGGGCATGGGCCACAGCAGTGACAACGTTCCTTTCTCCTCTTTCCTAACATTCTTTAAACAAAGAGCGATCTGACCAAACATGACAAAACAGTCAAGTTTCATGTATATTTAAATGGTCTCTTGGTACCAGTTCAGGCTGTGGGTGAGATCATTATTTTTTTCATTATTCATTCCTGGGATGGGGGTGTCATTGTCTAGGCTGACATTCATTGCCCATCCCTAATTGCCCAGAGAGCAGTTAAGAGTCAACCACATTGCCGTGGGTTTGGAATCACATGTAGGCCAGACCAGGTAAGGATGGCAGTTTCCTTCCCTCAAGGACATTAATGAACCAGAAGAGGTTTCTCCTGACAATTGAGAATGGACTCGTGGTCATCATTAGACTCATTACTATTGAATTCAGATTCCACCATCTGTCATTGGTGGGATTCAAACCCACGTCCCCAGAACATTACCCAGGTCTCTGGAGTAATAATCTAGCAGTAATACCACTAGGCCATTGCCTACCCTTTGTAGCCACCACTTCAGAGTTTCCCTTGATTTCCCACTCTAGTCTGGGTTAACTCCACTCTGATCAGTTGGCTAATTTGGTGTTAGCATCCTTCACTGATCCCAGGCATCCATCTATTGGATTTCCTATTCTGCTGCTGGTAATGGCTGTTAACTTCACCACAGAGAGTCAGGTCAGTCAATATATACCTCAGGGGCATCACTTGAACTCGCTGTCGGAAATGCTGTGGAGGGAATGCCAATGGGTGCAGTTAGATCTGTCAGGAGTGTTTTTCTTTCGAAGCCGACTGCACCAAACACTCGTCCAGTCTCATGGCTGATTCGATCCAGTTCCAGGACCCATTCCTTAACGGAGGATGTGAAGTTTGTGATGACACTGGAGAGACTACAGTCATGTTTTTTCTCAGGGCGGAAGGGCCTGTACTGTGCTGTACTGTTCTATGTTCTGTGTTCTATGGGTGTGGACCAGGGAAGCTGGAGTGGTCCTCCCGCAGCAAAAGGAGACAGTTTGACGAAGGGGTTCACTTTACAATGGAAGAGATAAGGAGGAACTGTCTCCTGTGGTGGAGGGTCAAGAGACACAGCTTCAACTGACAAAAGACCGAGACCTGATGGTTACTCGTGAATTTTGAATTTGGAGGGTGGTTTCAGATGTTCAGATATGGGTGGGGTTGGGATCACTTGATGAGCTGAATGGTCTTTCGTCTCAGGCAGTTTTTGGAAATTTTCGCGGGTTTCTTTGTTGCAATTTTATTCTCCCCTCATTCATAGTTTGTTTTCTCTTTCAGGGTTCATTTCGGATCTATCCTCTGCCAGAAGATCCGGCAAAACCCATCCCCCCACCTCAGTTCCGTCAACTGCCCTCGAGTGAGCCGCAGATCTGTTTAGTGAGAGTTTACATTGTCCGCGCTCTCAGCCTCCAGCCGAAGGATCGCTCTGGGACAGTACGTATTTGCCACCTCCACATACAGGGAAAACTATCAAACGTCACAAATTCACAACAGTGTGTTGAGCTTCTGAAAGAGGTGGGGGATTGAATTCTGGCCCGCATTTTATGTGGGTTATCTTCTCCATACTGAGTTGTTGTGCAATTTGGAATGCAGTTTAAGGGCAGTGATGCAGGTTCGATCGCGAATTTCCAAAGGGAATCGAACAACCGTTTGAAAGTCCAAAGGTTCGCAGGGTTCCGCAGAAAACGCTGGAGAGTGGGAACTGATTGGCTAGCACTTTCAAAGGGCTGAGTGGCCTCCTCTGCCCAGAGGTAGGCCATTCATTCCACTGATATCGAACATATAATGCTGGCAACACTCGACAGAACTGGCAGCGTCTGTGGCAAGAGGTGCAGAATTAGTAGTTCAGCTCGATGACCTTTCCTTGGAATTGAGAAATATTTTGAGCAAGTGGAAGGTTTGGGGACAGAGGAAGGTTTATGATAGTGTGGAATTCAGGAGATACTAATTGACAAAAGGATGCTCCGTGTGAATGCAAACGGAGTGGGAATGGGGCAGGATGTGAAACAAAAGATGTCTCTTGACGAGGTCTGAGAATGACAAAAACCAAAGGCAAAGACAAGAATAAGACCCAAAAACATAAAGGAAAGAACATTGCCCCTGTACTATGTGAAATTATTAAACCCTCTATTAGTGCTCTGTTGACAAATAAAGTGCTGTTTCTCAACCTTGAGTTGAGCTTCATCAGAGTCCAAAGACAGTAGGGAAACAAGGTGAGAATTGAAATGTCAGATGATCAAAAACCAATGATGCTCCACTCAAGCCTCCTGCACTCTTCCTCATCTAACCCAATCATCTATCCTTTGCTCCGTCTGCACATCCAACCCCCATCAGGATGATTTTGGGGCTCTCCACTTCTTCCTGGAAAGAAAGCCTGAACTGACCCCCTCCATGACCACCCTCCACCACCTGGCTGAGTCCATCCTTAAAGCTTCTCCTTTAACTCCTCTCACTTCGTTCAGTTCAAAATTGTGGCCCTGAGTACCAGTTATGCCTGTGAAACGTTCCTTGTTCCAGTCCTACTCAGGTCCCTCTCCAAAACTCTTTACCTGGTACATCGATGACATCATCAGTGCTGCTTCCCTCTCTCGCCCGGAATTGAGAAAATCGATCGCTTTCACTTCCAAATTGCACCCTACTGGTCACCTTCGGCTGGTCCGTCTCTGACTCCTGTCTTCCCTTCCTCGACATCTCTGTTTCCATTTCTGGTTAGAGGCTGCTCACTGGTATCCATTACAAATCCACCAACTCCCACAGTTACTTAGACTTTACACCCTCACACCCTGCTTCCTTTAAGGACTCCATTCCATTCTCCCAGTTTCTCCGATCCTTCGCATCTGTTCTGATGATGCTACCTTTGCAGGGAGGCACCTATCCCCTGTCTACAGCTTTTATACCCACCTTTTCTGAGCTACTATCAGTTCTGGAGAAAGGTCACTGGACTTGAAATGTAAACTCTATTTTCCCTCCACTGATGCTGCCAGACCTGCTGAATTTCTCCAGCAATTTCTGTTTTTATTCCAATCTCCCTCCTGTTTTTCTAGCTTCCCCTTAAATGCCAACTGTGGAATCCAAAATCCTGAGATTTCATCCAATCCATCTCAGTTTTCCAAGGATGGGTTAGGTTACAGTTAGTCCCTGGATCTTGGAGCCACGTTGTCACTGCGAACTTATTTCTTACCGGGACGAAGAATGTACCAGAGGGGGAGCGCTTGTAATTTTGCTTTCATTCTCGATCGAGTGTGGTCACTGATCACTCCTGAGGCAGGTAGGTCTTGAGTCCAGCTGAAGTGTTCCCTACTCTGATCCAGTCATCGACCTCTAAGTAGAAGAGTGGCACCAATGTGGCCTTCTGCACCTGCTCCATGGGTAACCCTTAGAATTTTCCTTTATCCCGATCCTGTTCTTGTATCATATTATCAGCCCAACGATGGCAACTGTGCCTTTAGCTGCCAAGGCCATAAGCTCTCGAATTCCCTCCATAAACCTCTTCCCCACTCACTTTAAGACAGTTGTTAAAACACTTGACTAAGCTTTTGGTCAAGTATTTCAGCTCAGTGTCAAATTTTGTTTGACACTTCTATGAAACATCTCTCAGGGCACAAGACCACAGGAGTTGAATTGATGGAGTAATCATTTCATATTTGCAGACTGAGGGAGCTTCAAATAAGGAGGGGGCTCTCAACAAAGAGTAGCTCATCAAACATGTTTATATGCGCACTGACCTCTCCATCTCCTTTTGCTAGTGTGATCCTTACATTAAAGTCTCACTGGGGAAGGAGACCGTTGATGATCGTGAGCATTACATTGCCAATAACCTCAACCCTGTCTTCGGCAAGTAAGTCGCTTCTTATGTTTGAACTTAAAGCTATACAAGATGTAACCATTCTTTCTATTATTTGCCATTTCCTTTTCTAATTTTGGAACAAGTCCTCATGCAATCTCAACAGTCTCTATAAGTGCTGTAGGTGACCCTTCACCAGTGTATTATCCTAACATCATTAAAATACTATGAACAGAAGACTGTTTGATCTCTCATGGATCTATGCATTATCTTGTGAAACTAGGGTCTCCAGAGAGTGAACACTTGGAGCTACAAGTGAAAACTGAGACAGGATAAACTCCTGGTTTTATCACCATCTAGGATGTGTTTGCCTTGCTGATGTGCCACTTTTTAAGACGGTCACTCACTCTGTCCCGCTGTCCTCATAATAACTAAGAGATCGCTGACAAAAGAGACATGTTGCTGAAACTTTTCCTCTATCATTCACCAGGTCAAGTGGAAGAATGCCCCATTTCAGTGCTAGGCAGTATGTTTCCGCAACTGGCTGATTGAATCATATAGCATGTTCCTTCAGTTGTTTAAAATATACAGAGTACAGACCATACGGTTGGCATGGTGGCTCAGTGGTTAGCACTGCTGCCTCACAGTACCAGGGACCCGGGTTCGATTCCAGCCTCGGGCGACTGTCTGCGTGGAGTTTGCACATTCTCCGTGTCTGTGGTTTTCTCCGGGTGCTCCGGTTTCCTCCCACAGTCCAAAGATGTGCCGGTTAGGGTGGATTGGCATATTAAATTGCCCATAGTGTCCAGGGATGTGCAGGCTAGGTGGATTAGCCATGGGAGATGCAGGGTTACAGGGCGGGGGTGTGAGTGGGTTTGGGTGGGATGCTGTTTGGAGGTTCGGTGTGGACCAGACAGGCTGAATGGCTTGTTTCCACAATATTCTGTACTTGTCTGCATTTGTAAAACCCAAAACAAAACATTTGCCATGATATGTGATATTGTGTTTGGACAGCACTTGCTAAACTATTCTGAGTGCATTAATAGCTGCCCCTACCAACCAATTTAGGAAACTCAGTTGAGTTCCTAATGTGGCTCATTTAGGCTGGCTAGAATTGACACGTGTTCATCCCCCTTTCCCCGCAAACAAAAGGAATATGTCATACCTTTTACTTTTTTTGAATTAGTCAGGAATCTGGGGGATCATTAATCTCCATAACACCGTAAGATGTAGGAGCAGAATTAGGCCATTCAACCCATCAAGTCAGCTCACCATTCAATCATGGCTGATATGTTTCTCAAACCCATTCTCTTGCCTTCTGCCTGTAACTAGAACCTATCTCTCTCTGTCTTAAATAGACGCAATGACTTGGCCTCCACAGCCTTCTGTGGAAATGAATTCCACAGATTCACTACCCTCTGGCTGAAGAAATTTCACCCTATCTCAGTTCTAAAGAGTCATCGCTTTGTGGCTGTGCCCTTGAGTCCTAGTCTCTCCGAGTGGAAACATCTCCATGTCCACACTAACCAGGCCTCTCATATTCTTTAAGTTTCAATGAGATCGCCCTCATCCTTCTAAACTCCATTGAGTATAAATCCAGAGACTTCAACTTCTCCTGGCAAGCCCTCCATCCCTAGGACCATTCTTGTAAACTTCCTCTGAACACCGTCTAAGGCCAGCACATCTTCCTTAGATATGGGACCCAAAACTGTTCACAATATTCCAAATGCGATCTGATCAGAACCTGATACAGCCTCAGCAGTACATCCCTGCTCTTGTATTCTAGCCCTCTCAAAGTGTATGCTAATGCTGCATTTGCCTTCCTACCATTAATTGAACCTGCATGTTAAGCATAAGAGAATTCTGATCTCGGACTCCCAAGTTCATCTGTGCTTCAGATTTCTGAAGCCTTTCCCCCTTTAGAAAATAGTCTTCACCTCTATTCTTCCTACCAAAGTGCGTAACCTCACATTTTCCCACATTGTATTCCATCTACCACTTCTTTGCTCATTCTCCTATCATGTCCAAGTCCTTCTGCAACCTCCCCACTTCCTCAACAATACCTGTCCCTCCACATTTCTTTGTGTCATCTGCAAATTTAGCAACAGTGCCCTCAGTTCCTTCATCCAGATTGTTAATGTATAACATGAGTAGTGGAGTCCCAACATGGACCTCCGCGGAATTTCATTAGTCACCAACTGCTATCCTGAAAAAGACCCCTTTATCTGCACTCTCTGCCTTTAGCCAGTCAGCCAATCCTCTATCCATGCCACTTGCAGACTCTGAGGACTGCAGATGCTGGAAGCTAGAGTCAATAAATGTGCAGCTGGAAAAGCACAGCAGGTCAGACAGTATCCGAGGAGCAGGAAAGTCAACATAAGTCCTGACAAATGGTTTCGGCCCGAAACGTTGACTTTCCTGCTTCTTGGATGCTTTCTGACTGCCTCTGCTTTTCCAGCTCCACATTTATTGACTCTATCCATTGCCAGCACCTTGGCCCCTAACACCTTGGGCTCACATCTTATTTCGCAGCGTCCTGTGCGGCACCTTGTCAAAGGCCTTCTGGAAATTCAGATAGATCACATCCACTGGCTCTCCTTTGTCTAACTTGGTTGTTATCTCCTCAAAGAATTCTAACCGGTTCCACGGCAAAACCTCAACCAATCAGCCATCAGCTATCCGAGTAATCAGCAAGCTTTTCTCCTGTCATACAGATTGTTGTGATTGTTTGAAATTTGCCACTCCTGCCTGATGAGTGCGGGATGAAAAGCTTTGGCAACTCTTCAGTTAGGTTCCAGTTCTGAGCTGCCCAGCATCTAGCAGGGCTGTGGGCATAGAGCAGAGGAGTGGGATAGAGATAGTTTGCTGTACAGAAAGCTTGGTGGACCGACTGGTCTCCTTTTGTATCATAAATGAGTCTAATCCACTAATACTCGAGGGGCCGAAGGGCCTCTTTCCATGATGTGAAAACTCTATGACCTTCCCTTTGTTACATTCTCTCCAAGGCTTGAGTGTCTTTTCCCTGGGAGGGAGCTTGGTTAAATTCTTCAATGAACTGATCTTGTGCAATGGTAGCAGTGCAAACTCTGGGAGCAGCATCTCAACCCTGCACAAAATCAACCGATTAACA